CTCTCTCTCTCTCTCTCTCTCTCTCTCTCTCTCTCTCTTTCCTCTCTATTTCCTTTTTTCTTTCTTTTCCCTTCTTTCTTCTTCACCCAAAATCCACTGTAGGGCGGTATGATTGAGAGGATTGAGAACAACATGGATCAGTCAGTGGGTTTTGTGGAGCGGGCGGTTGCTGACACTAAAAAAGCCGCTAAATATCAGCAGGAGGCTCGACGTGTGAGTTCATGATGAATATCAGGCCCCACCCTTTCCCGCGCTGCCTCTCCTTACTGTGTCCAAACCCGTTGACGTTACACATAGAGTCACATTCACACACTAACAAACCCAGTGATTATTACTAATCCTGATACGCCCTGAAACCTCCCATTACAGGATTTCAGTGTAACTCGGGTAATGAAAAAAAACTATGTTAAGCCACATGTTCACTTTTCATGTCATATTAACAGCAACAAAACATTTGACACATTACACACACAGCTGAGAAGGATACATTTTAACAAAGCCGTTCTGTGTTCAAATGTGAGGAAAAACAGCCTCTTTTGGTGTGAGCGAGAGCTTACGGTGATTGATCTGTTAGCACCATTCATGAAGTCAAGGGGTTTGTGACCATTTTGGTCTTTTTGCCACTTTTATTTATACAGATAAAATCATAGAAAACACAGCATGTGTATAAAAATATAAAAACTTGCTCCACCTATGAAACTACTTCTCTTTATTGTCATTGTTCAGGTACAACAATGTCAATGATAGATTTTCATATTAAATTTAAAGGAACACTCCACCCAAAAATGAAAACTTTCATCATTCATTCATCCTCATGTCGTTCTAAACCTGTATGACTCTACTTTCCTTTCTTCTATGGAACACAATATAATATATTTTAAAGAATGTTGGGAAGCGAACATCACTTTCATTGACATCCATTTACTTCCACTGTATGGGCAAAATTCTCAAAATATCTTCTTTTATGTTCCTCAGAAGAAGGAAAGTTATACAGAAAATGATGACTTTCATTTTTGGGTGAACTGTCACTTGTATAGTAGTATTATATTCTTATATAAAATTATATTAAGAAAAATCAATTAAATAGTTATGTATTAAGGCATAAACAAAAGTAGAACAATAGAAATAATAGAAAAGTATTACAATTAATCAAAGCTATAAAGCAATGATTTTAACATAAAGGTTTATTGTACATGGAATGAACTGACCAAGGCAGTGCAAAATATTAAGACTGATTTATTGAGTATGTGTCGTAAACCAAGACCAAGATGTGCAGAATACACATTTTTGGAAATTATCTTGCAAAGAGACAAATTCTGAGATTCCATCTGGAAATACGTCACATTAAGAAAGTATTTTGGGTTGCAAATGATGAATATGATGGGCATACCATGGTGAAGCACAATCTCTCCTTTCTTTCTTTCTTTCTTTCTTTCTTTCTTTCTTTCTTTCTTCTTCTTATTTTTAAATCTTCAACACTCTCTGAAAAAATGGTATGAAAACTGTCACTGGGGCAGTCAGTAGGCTACCTTTTCAAAAGGTACCCCTAAAGGTGCATAAAAGTACCTCAAATGTACATATTAGTACCTCAAATGGTATATTTGTAGTTTTTGAAAAGATACCACCCCAGTGACAGCTTTTGTACTTTCAGTACAAAAATCATCATTTAGTGCAAAAAAATACAATTTAGTAGAGTAAATGATAGTTTTCTAGACATTGTCTTTTTAATAAATGTAATGCCTAGTCCTGAAATGAATACCAGATTTTCCATCAAAGATCATTTGTTGGCCCAGACTGGATGTTTTGTCTTTATATTTGAGTGAACTGTTTATTTGTTACTCAAATGTTAACGTAGATGCTAACAGTTGTGTTGTTGTGTATATGTGTGTTTCTTCACAGAAAACAATTATTATAGTGTCTGTGGTTTTGGCGGTTTTGGCAATTATTGCTTTGATAGTGGGTTTATCCGTAGGTCTGAAATAAAGGCTCTGGTGAGTAAATTTCAGAGGAATGTGTGTAAGGTTTGGGAACTGGGAATGGTGTGGATGTTTGATATTATTCAGATATCGACTGGGTTTTTAAGTTGATCTTCTCTAGTCTTCCTCATGGATGTAAATAAGCATGCTTTGTAGGGCTGGGTAAAAAATATCGATATCTCGATACTAATCGATTCTCATTTTTACGATATCGATTCTTAAATCCCAAGCCTGTTATTCTAGCCTGTTTTCAGTTAATGGGCGGAATGTTGAAGGGCACTTCCCATCCAATAAATCGCAATAAGCATTGTGCTTTGGTACTTTTAATATGAAATATGCACCATATAACATATTAATTATAAATGGTACTGTTCTTCAATGTTTAATTTATGTTTGAATAAATCCATCAAGTTTTTATGACAGCCACCATTATGTTTAAATAAAAAAACGAATTGAAGCTAGAAATATTATGTAATTGTAACTTTATTATTTTAAAAACTTCATTAAGTGTAATTTTAACAAATCAGTCAATTTTAACCTTCAATATTATAGTAATGTAGTACCAACTGACTCTCATGTATATTTTACAGCATTAGTTGAGAGAAAATTCGGCATGTACTGTACCTGATATATATCCAAAATAATCGATATTGAATCGAATCGAATCGCAAGCTTGTGAATGAGAATCAAATCGAATCGTGAAATTTGTGTCAAAACCCAGCTCTAATGCTTTGTTTGGGATCTCCTGGGCATCCTTAGGTTTGGTTGTGGAGTTCATTTCTATGTTGTCTGTGTGTTATGGTTCTGTTGGGCTCCGTTGTTTGTTATGGTGGTGAAGGGTTGAAGACTTTAGATGTTTGCTGTTGGATTAATGGATCATGTTTTGTTTCGTCTCTTGTAGAAGATGATCATACTGGGTGTGATTGGTGCTGTGGTGCTCATCATCATCCTCATCGTCATCCTCACACAGGTTCTATGAAAACCTCTGTGGCTGCTCACAAACTCTCCATTATTACAGATGATCATTTCCTCCACTCCTTTTCATCCTCCCTGTTTTTCCTTGGAAGTACGTCAAGACAAATGCTCCGCCCCCTGCACCTGTGGCCCCTCCCTTCATCAGCACAAACCAATGGGAAACCACTCTGCTGGAACCCGAGTGACGGTCAAGGAAACAGACTGTGTTTTTTTGTTGTAAGGACGTGATGGGAAATGTTTAAGGAACTTCTACTACATGCAAGGAATGGCGTTTGAAGGAAGCGCATTTTAAATACATGTACAAATCCATGAGCACAAAATAAGGGACTTTTATGAGACTCACAAGGGGAAGTTAACCTCCATTTTATTCCTTAATGTTTTTATTGTATTGTGTGTTCATAAGACACATCAATGTCTACATCTACTGGATGAGCTGCTGTTCTTGATCAAAAGGGCTCAGACACACAGATGTGATTTCAGCTTCTATTTTGGATCCCTGTGAAATGAACACAATAAGCTAAGCATTGATGAGTCGTCCAGAACGGAAGAAGCCCACACGAGTAGATTTTTATTGTGATGAACGTCTGTATGGGAATTAACCTAAGGAATAAATTACATTATATATTTTCTAAGTATTTTGTACATTTTTGAGAAATGAATTGATGGATTCAAAGGGATCATTGTCAGAAAACTGTCATTTGTTTATATGTTAATAAATTATATATTAATTCATATTTAATAATCAACCGATAGGGTTTCAATAGTTATAATAAGTTTATATGCGAGTATGGGTTCAATAGTTACACTATTACTTAAACTATTTTCCTAATCATGCGGTTACAGGCCTGCAAAAAAATTATCCAACAATACTTTTTTCATGAATCATGTTATTAGGAAGCACAGGAAAACTTCTTGTTTGGTTTGTATTATGAATTTGCTCCACACCTGATGGTAAGTAAATGCTCGCTTTCTTAAACACACAAACACACACAGGCCTTAAACCTAAACCTTTCCTTTGTTTTACTCCTCTTTCTCCCTTCTGTCATTTTAAAAGAATTGTGCATGGTTTTTCATAAGCAACATTTTAAAAGATGTGGTCTGCTGTGAGAACTTTTCCCCTTTCCCATGTGCATTTTCTAACTTTCTCCTGTTCTCATTTGTCTTTACTGTCTCATACATATCCATCTTTCTCTCTGTAGAAGAAATTGATGATCATGCTTTGCTGTGTGATTCTGGGGATTGTTGTCTTTTCTTACCTTTACAGCTTCTTTTCTTAATGGTAAGAATTCTAATTAATATATAGTATACACATATATAAGGGAGACTGGGGCAAGTTGTCACAAGTAACTGTATAAACTATATATAAATGTGTTTTTTCTCCAGCAGTCTGTGTATTTTAATTGCAGTTTTATAATGATTTTGAATATACTGCCCTCCAAACTAAAATTCCATGGAATGAGACTGTGTTCATCATATAACCCTTTGGGTAAACAAACACATTAAAACCACACTGACATGCTTTCACAACTATTTAACGAAGGCGAACAAGAGTATTGTGTGCTTCACATTTTGGGCAAGTCTTCATATACTACCAAGAAGTCTCTTGTGCTCATTAACAATGGTTCTTATTATCCATGGAAACTTTCCATTCCACAAATGTTTCTTTATAGTGGATTATTTTAAAATGTTCATCAACCTAAGAACAACATGGTTCTTTTAAGAACTGTTCACTGGGGAACCCCAAAGAGTTTTTCTATGGCATCACAGTACAAATTGTGAAATATTATAATTTAAAATCAGTTTTAATATATATTCAAATGTAATCTATTCCTGTGATGCAGTGCTTAATTTTCAGCATCAGTCTTCAGTGTCACATGATCCTTCAGAAATCATACTAATATGATGATTTGCTCCTCAGGAAACATTTCTGACTATTGAAAACAGTTGTGCTGCTTTGTTTAAAAACAAAAAAAAGCATTTATTTGAAATAAATATTCTGTCACTTTTGAACAATTTAATTTCTTTGCTTAATAGAAGCAAAACAAAATTAAAAATCTTACTGACCCTTTAAAGGGTTAGTTCACCCAAAAATGAAAACTGTTGTCATTAATTACTCACACCTCGCATCAGGGGTTCAACCGCAATTATACCAATTATATGCATTTATACGCATCACCCTGGCACCATTTTGGAGAATATCCGCTGGACGTAAACAGCATATGCTATTCTGTGTCAGCTGCGTCACGCCGGATCTGTTTCCTATGTTGTTGTGATTTGATCTGAAAGGAAACAGCGTTTCATCTATATTGCTATAACATATAGCATTCTGTGTAGAATTCAAATAGCTCTGATACAGTTTGTGGTCTGCGCCGACCCGCACATGTGATCCGCTCCGTGCTATCGGGTCTCTGGACCGGAGCAGAGTGTGTGTGCGGTGCGGTGGTTAGCGTGACACAGCGCCAAACCA